AAATAAACTTAAAAAAATATATATAGAAGAATATCACCCAGTGCTACAAACAAGTCCTGTACCAGCAGCTGGGGACTTCTGGATTCTCTGGTCCGTTGTGCTTCGTGTAACTTGTTGAATTTAAGAGCATTCTTCCTGTCTCCAGTATCCAGCTCTGAGGACAGGTAGGGAGCAAAGCCTAGTGAACTGATTTTTGATAGCCTTCTACTGAGAGTCATGTAGGTAAGCTCATGACGTTCAGGAGAATTTTTTTGACCTGTCACCGCTGTGCCCCTGTTGACAGTGGTGGCTTTTAAAAATCGTAGTTGTTTGAATCAACAAGTAAATATCTGAAAAAAGAAATGGTAACTTGTGAGAGCCTGAGGTAGCGTTCAAGTTATCTGAAAAACTATTAGCCAAAAAATTAAGATTGCATTCACTTATACATAAAACTCCTTTCTGTTTACCATATGCAGAGAAATGGAACTCAATATAAGTTTTAAGTATTCCCTGGTTTTCTGCTGATAAAAAAAGAATTCCTTTTGTCTCCCAGACAACTGCTCATCAGAAGTGTTTTGTCCAGCTTGCTTTCCTTTGTGTGCAGTTATTAATTGGATGTCACAAAAGAACACAGGGGCAACCATGGATAAGCCCCTTGTTTCTAACCACAGCCAGTAGTGTTTCCGATGCTTGCTGCTCCTGTCACTGCTTGGCAGAAATGCAGGGGCAGGTGGGCGGCTCAGTCGGTTAAGCATCTGACCTTGGCTCAGGTCATGATCTCATGGTTCATGAGTTCGAGACCCCTGTCAGGCTCTGTGCTGACAGCTCGGAGCCTGGAGCCTGCTTCCGATTCTGTGTCTCCCTCTTTCTCTGCCCTACCCCTGCTCACACTCTGTCTCAGTCTCTCAAAAATGAATAAACGTTAAAAAAAATTAAAGACAAAAAACTAATTGGCAGAAATCTGTAGGCCCCATAGAAAATACTCTTTATTTTCACCAGATGTAATTTGCATCTAAGCAAGTTTTTGCATATTGCAGACATAATCGCTTCTGTGGTGTAGCAATAGGACATTTTTTTCAGTGCTGATATTTCTGCGCCTTATAAGTTCCTGCCCTTGGTATTGATTATATATTTTTCCATTAGGATCCAGTTTGGTGGTTATTTTCTTTCATTTGTTCAGCTACCATACATATTTACTTCAAATCAGTTTGCTTTTGAAAAAAAAAATGCAGGGGTGCCTCACTGGCTCAGTCAGTGGAGCCTGAGACTCTTGATCTCGGGGTCGTGAATTCAAGCCTCGTGTTGGGCATAGAGTTCATGTAAAAAGAGAAAGGGAAGGGAGGGGAAGGGAAAGGAAAAAGGAAAAGAAGAAAGGAATTAATGCACTTTTGAATGTTTAGTTGACTCTTAAATCTTTCGTTTTTATCAAAGTTAATCACCTTTCCCAGCTTTTTTATCCGTCTCTCCTTCCCCCGTCCCCAAGGAACAACTGTTATAAAATCTGGCTGATGAGGGTGACAGCCCAATCCTAGGAATGGGGATTTCCTGTGGTAAATCTAGTACACGTGGGTCATGTGCCAGAAACGTGCTGTGGAATCCAGAGTGATGACCTTTACTCTCCCCTTCCTGTCTTGCCCCCTCCTTTCCTCCTTTTTCTCTCTCTCTCAATTTATTAAACTTTAAGAAAGAGGAAGGAATCAAATAACATTTTGTCAGTTAAACCTGCTAGTGAAAAATACAGACAACTGGAAATAAAGTTTGATTGAAACAAAGTATTACTTATTGATTTGAACTACACAGTCTTTTCAACTCCAGAATCCTAACCTTTAGTTAATAAAGGTAATAGTAATCCCTATAAATAAAATATAAATAAAATAAAATAAATACCTATAGTTATGAAATAAAAATAATACCTATAGTTGGGGCGCCTGGATGGCTCAAGTCAGTTATGCGTCTGACTCTTGTATTTTGGCTCTGGTCATGACCTCATGGTCCGTGAGATCGAGCCCCTGCATCGAGCTCTGGACGGACAGTGCACAGCCTGCCCGGAGTTCTCGCTCTCCCTCTGCCCCTTCCCTGCTTATACATGTGTGTGTGCGCGCTCTAGGTAGTTAAACATTTAAAAGAACTTAAAAGAAAAAAATGAAATATATACAGTTATAAAAACATGAAAAAGTACAAAACCCCTAAAGTTAGAAATTGTTTTTAATTAGAACACGGGAAAGTAACATTTTAAGTTTCTAAACACGGAATAGGTACAAGTTTGCTCATTATATTTTTTTATATATTTTTATATTTTATATTTTTTATATATATTTATATATATATTTTTTGTGTCATTATATTGACACAGACCCACCTTTTCCTAGGTATTGGGAATAGTGCCACTTGTTTTTTGTCTGTCATCTGACTCTCCCACCAAGGACTTTTGTGTGTGTGTTTTTGCTACACTCCACTGCCTGAAACAAAAACCTCTGCGCATTCAGTAAATAGTTTTTTAATAAAATAATTCATTAACCATTTTGCGACAGACCTGGAAACCTCTCGTGTGGTGAGCACATCTCCATTCCTTTTTCTATCCAAAGCACTCAAGTCCAGGCAACCCTCTAAAAAGTGGGGAGAAAGGGAAAAGAAAGTACCCCACTTTCTCAGAGATTTGTTGAGTTTTTCTTAACCTTATTTATTATTGAGAGAGAGGATGAGCAGGGGAGGAGCAGGGAGGAGGGGGACAGAGGATCCGAAGCAAGCTCTGTGCTGACAGCAGAGAGCCCATTGCGGGGCTCGAACTCATGAACCCCAAGATAATGACCTGAGCTGAAGTCAGACACTTAACTGACTAAACCCCCCTGGAGCTCCTCAGAGATTTGTTTGAATATAATTCTATTTATGGCTCACAAAATGCACTCTTTAAGGACGTGGGTAGTAGTCCTGTTTTTCAGATCCTTCTAAATTGATGGTAGAACTGGTGTTCAGATTTGCCTCTGACTCTGCTCTTGGTTTGCTGCTAGACCTGGCCTAGTAAATTTTTGCTGTGGTTTCAACTCCTCTCTCCTCCCCAACCACCACCACCAACTCCCCCTCCCCCGAGAAAACTTCAGCTTGCCAATGTCACTTCCTCTGAGTAAATCACTGGTTTAAAGGAACAGGAGAAAATACTGCACCCGAATTCTAACTCCTAGAAAAATCACCGTGAAATAGTTTTATTTTAGATCAGGATGCCCTTATATTGTTTAAAGCCAAAACTTTTCATTTTGCCATTATGAAAAATCAGACTAACAGGGGCGCCTGGCTGGCCCGGTTGGTGGAGCATGTGACTCCTGGTCTCGGGGTTGTAAGTTCAAGCCCCGCGTTGGGTGTGGAGCCTACTTTAAAAAAAATTAAATGAAAAAAGAAAAATCAGACTCGCATGAAGATACCTGTAATTGCCACTTAGAGACTAATTGGCTACTTTTAATTTCTAATGTTTTACTTTAATGCACTCCTCATTAGTACATAGTGGGATGCACGTGTGCTTTTTATCACTAGGACAGATACTGTGTTTGACCTGGGTTATCAGCTGTTCCTATTGATAAAAACACAGCCATCTTGTCTGTGTGTGTGTTTGCAGGTGGGTGTTGATGTTGATATTAACTTCTTCAGTGGGACAGCTTCTTTTAGAATGGCCTGTGGTTTCTTCCCTATTTCTGTATCTGTGACTTTTTTTCTAGGAGGAAGTTGAAATGCTTTAAAATACATACTCATTGGTGATGCACAAAACATCTTCCCTTCTGCCAGATGCTGGTGTCGCATGTGTAACACTGCTAAGATTAGGTCTCCCAACCTCCAAGCACCTCTGCAAAATACTCAGCTTGGCTGATTAGGATCACAGAATTAGTTACTGAAACCACATCTCCTTTGTTGGAACCTGCCCCCGATATTTTGGGTATCCCTTCCAATGCTCAGTGTCTTTGAGGATCAGACAGACCCCTAGGGCTTTCCACCTGCAATGCCCTTCCCCTCAATCGTTCTCGTTGCCCCCTTGATAAAGCTGAGCTCTGGTAATAGATTCATGGGTTTAGAAGGTGATATATGTGCTAGTTAATAAACTTGAGAATGACCAAAACTTTCTCTGTAGAACTTTGGGTACAGTCTTGCTAGTTTGAAGCATCCTTTTGATGTTCACTCTGTGGAGGTGGAGGGGGGTCGGTGCTTTTAGCTTCTTAATGAAAAGGTTGGTCACTGTTGTCTAGCAGAGCTCAAAAAGTGGGGGGTCTTAAATGCACACACACAGGGCGCCTGGGCGACTCCGTCAGCTCAGTGTCCGCCTTGAGCTCAAATCATGATCTCCTGGTGAGTCGGGCCCCTCATCAGGCTCACTGCTCTCAGTGCAGAGCCCACTTCGGATCCTCTGTCCCCCACACTCCCTCTGCCCCTCCCCCGCTCATGCTTTCTCTCTAAAATAAAGAAAACATTTTAAGAAACACACAAGAGCAACAGGTGGAGGAAGTAGTTCTGGCTGGACGACAGCACAGAGAAGGACAGTGCGGAGCAGAGACTCGAGCTCTCACAGCAGAGCGGGAGCCTGCGCATCCTGCCCTCTGCCGTGCCCCTGGCGGTGGGGAGCAGGGCGCCATGACTCTTGTCGAAGAACGTGAGGTGAACAGGACAGACGCCTCCAGGGAGGGGAGCTCTTCTTTACGTTTCTGTCTTAATAAACAAAGCTGGCATTTGAGAAGGATATGTCCATTTTCTCTCCCGCTGAGGGCTTAGCTTCTGCCACCGGAGACAGTAGGTTCTGCCCAAAAACCCAGCACAGTGGCCTCACCCATATGAGCAGACATGTTTGAAACCAGAATTTCACCACCGTACTATAGTCCTACCCGCCTGGAAAGGAAGAGTGAACATCTGAGATGCCTCGCTATTTGAAAGACTTAAGTCGAAAGCCAGAGTCGTCTTATTTGATAAAGCATTTATTTAAATGAATGCTTTGTTTTGAAATCACGCTTATGTTATGTGTGACTTTCTTCCATTCCTTTTTTTAGGTGGCCTCCTTAGCCGGGCCTGGAGGGCAGGTGGAAATAGAACAAAACTTTCTTAATAATAAACTGAAGACAATCACTGCGTATTTTGGGGACCTGATTCGAAGATCAGCCTCTGAATCATAACTGTGAGGTGGTATAAGGACAAATGGGTCATGTGTGGTCAGAACATTACTCAGAGGAGACCCTTGGATTTCTTTCTGTCGTCACAAATATTTTGTACCCGTGGTCTTATATCACCAATGACATGGACACTTACAGTATTTTAATTAATCTTAATGAGGTGCTTAGACATCTTTGGGTAATATTAACTGTGTGCGGCCTCCATTCAGATGGCTGTATCTGAGATGGGAAAGGTGGGCCTCCCCCTGTGTTCAGTGTCAAACAATGTGTGTATATGTACGTGTATGTCTATATATATTTTTTAATTGTGTATGTTTTGGCTTAACATCTTTGTGCGTAAAAAACAATTACTCTATTTTTTCTAATACAGAGAAATAAGAAAACATGAATGAGCTGTAGTCTATCTGCCCGTTAGACCCCTGTGAGATAAGTAATGGTAAACCTTTAAGGGCAGAAACATAAACAGTACAGAAGGGTACAGAATGAAAAATAAAACTTCTACCCCTTCCCCTACCCATTATTCATTTATCTAAAGGTAACTACAGCTAACAGTATTTTATAATTCCTTTGGAAGACAGAAAAAGAATTGCACTATACTTTAATACAGTTTTTTCCCTCTCATTGATGCACTGGTCAATACTCCCCCATTTTTCACTTAATGTATTTTTTTTTAAACTATGTACATTTCACTAATGTATCTTGAAGACCTTTTCCACCTCCTTACATACATGAAGCTCTACCTCATTCCTTTTCGTGGCCATCTTCTATTCCATCACATTGTATTAATTTAACTGGTCTCTGTTGATGGATATTTGGGCTGTTTTCAGTTTTTTGCAACTGTGAATTATTGTGGGCATCATCAAGCATTTTAATTTTGTTATCTTAGTATGTCAGGAAAATGCTATCTTATTGTTTGTATGTATTCCTTAATTATGAATGAGATTTGAGCATATTTTCATATATTTTGGTCTTAATAGTTTTCCCCTTTTAAACTTACTGTTTTTATCTTTTATTAATTTTGGGGCAATTGTTATCTTTTTCTTATTAATATACATGGATTCTTCATAAATTAACAAAAATCAACACCCTGTGTCTTCAGTGGGTGTTGCAAATATGTTTTTCCAGTTTGTTATTGGCCTTTGCTTGTTTTGTAGCTTGCTTTTTTTTTTTTTTTTTTTTTTGNGTTTTTCCAGTTTGTTATTGGCCTTTGCTTGTTTTGTATTTTGTTTTTTTTTTTTTTTTTTTTTTGGCCATATGTAAGTATTTAACTTTTATGTAGTCAGACTTAACCAGTCTTAGACACTGGCACTTCTGGGTTTATGTTTTTCTTGAAAGATCTTTTCCGTTCCCAGAATACACATACACTGATTTAAGCTTTTTTTTTTTCTAGAATTTTACTGTTTTTGTGTCTTTGTTCCATCTAGAATTTGCTTTTTAACATTCTTTTGTTTTATAAATTTGGTGTGTTTTATTTTTTCTAATACATTTAATTCATTTAATTTCCTCTTTTAAAAAGAAATTGCAGGCCTCAGCACATTGTACCCATACATGTTAGCACGCATACCATTAATTAGAGCTCAACATTACTTTCAGTTGTTTTTCTTTTGAGATAAACTGAAATACAATGAAATGCACAGATTTTAAGTGTATTAGTCAATGAGTTTTGATAAATACATATAGCTGTGTAACCCAAACGACTCTCAAAATACAGAACATTAGCATCACAGAAACGATTCCGTCTCAGTCAGTCCCCACCCCACCTGATGGGCGCCCATTGTTCATTTTTCTCTACCATAAATGATTTTGCTAAAGTTAGTGTGTTTTAAATTCCACTGCAAAAATAATATGAAAATATATTTTGTAACAGGGGGTTTATATTCTTTTTATATTAAAATGGCAATGAAAGGAGGAATATGTGTTGCTTAATTATTCATCTAATCAGGGGCGCCTGGGTGGCTTAGTCGGTTAAGCATCCGACTTTTGCTTAGGTCATGATCTCGCGGTTCGTGGGTTTGAGCCCTGCGTCGGGCTTGTGCTGACTGCCAGCTCAGAGCCTGGAGCCTGTTTCAGTCTGTGACTCCCTCTCTCTCTGACCCTCCCCTGCTCACGCTGTCTCTCTCTCTCTCTCTCTCTCCTAGAAATAAATGAATAAATAAATTTAAAAAAATTTATTCATCTAATCAGTGTGTTCAGTTAGTTTTACAAGTAGGTAAAAAGATAGGAACACAGGACTCTGTCAGGGCTGTAGGCCCTTTATCTTTTAATAATGTGAGCGTGTGAAACATTAAACAAAACATGGCTTGGGCTGGGATGCAGCTAGAGGAATTGAAATAAATTGGGGGAAGTTCTGGAAGAATAACTTAAATAAAAACAATGTTGTTGGGGAATGGAGCGGCAAGGCTAACTTTGGTCTCTCGAAACTTCACAGTGTGTGCTCACTTGTGCTGTCGCAATAGAGCTGGTCATTAAGGATGAAATTTCATTGATTCACAACATCAAAATCTGTCACCATTCTTTGTTTTTACACTTCCTCATCACAGAACATTAGTGTACGCCTCATAAATCTGTCATCGGTTTTTAAATAATGGCAGCACTGGTCACGAACACGTGGCCTCTAGAACTTGAATATGACTTTACTCAGCCACTGGGGAAGAGATAGAGGAGTAAAAGCCGATTTCCAAAATCACCAGTTGTTTTTTAGTTTCTGTCCCTCACCCTTTCATGTACACCTTTTTTCTACAGCGTATTTTCATATCTATATATTGTTAAGATTAAAACTTATCTTTTTGAACATACATAGGAGTAGAATATGAAGCCCAACCAAGATTCAAATACTCTTCTCCACTAATCACACACAGATATAACATTAGACTTGTTTATACACCTGTCTTAGTGCCCCAAAGAACTTTACCATGCAGCTCCTGTGTTCACATAAAATCTTCCCCAAAAGCCAAATATGGAACATGGATAAAAGTAAACTTTCTAGGGTCGCTTCTGATATAACAGAAATGAGGAAAATAGTGGCCCTTCTTCTAATCCAACTCTTCTTTCCTTCTTGTTAAATTACAAAACTTGAAGGATGCTTTTATAAAAGAAAAGGACTACGCATTTGCGTTTTTGATGTCAGTACAAAGTGAACAGCTCAAAAAGAGCCACCCGTCCCCCTCCCCTCCTGCCTCAAGTGCTCTGTCCCCACCCCCCTCCCACATTTCTGTGGCCAGCACCTTACTATCCTGTGCTTCCAGGCATTTCCCTACCTAATAAAGGCTCTCTGCACGTGCAGTGGGATGGGACATAATGGGATAATATTTTAACATTTGATTTTGTTTTGCGTTTAATAAACCTTACAAGTTTTTCCACATTATTACATAAACATTTGCACTACCGTTTTTAAAGAGTCCCATAGTACAAATCTGAGAATTTCTTTAACCATTCCCCTACTATGAACATTTATGTTGTTCCTGGCTTTTGCAATTGCAGATGATACTCAGTGTGTATATCTGAGTAGGATCCTAGAACTGAAACTTTCAGGTTAAAAGTCATGCTTATTTTTATATTTGGTATGTCAAGTTGCCCTCCAACGATGTATATTCTCACCAACTATGCACGAAAGGGGCCACTTTTCACGACCGTCAAGAACGTTGCATGTTTTCACTTCTTATTCTTACCAAACCGATCAACAAACTTATTTTAATTTGCATGTCCTGATCACTAGTGAGGGATAAGCAGTTTTTCATACATATTTGTTACGCAAGTGCATGCGCTATTAGGCATCTAATTATTTCGCCAAATGAATAGCTAGTTGCTACACCATTTTCTATTAAATGAACTCAACTTTCTCCATTAACTTGAAATCCTGTGTGCGTGTCTGTGTCTGTGTGTGTGTGTGTTCGTGTAATTCTGTGTCTGGAATTCTTTTTGTCCCATTGATCACTTCTCCATTCCTATGCCATGTTTTTGATGACTATACTTCTCATTGGACGTGCCAATAGTTACAAACTCCCCCATCATTTGTCCTTCAAATTTTTCTCCGTTCTTCCTGGCATTTTAGGTGAACTTAAATGTGTCGGTTCTGTGTTTAAATCCCCTTTAGGATTTAAGATTTTCAGATTAGGAAAAGCGATGTCATCACAACATGGAATCTTTATATCCAAAGACTTAAAATGTCCCTTTCTGATCTCTGTATCTTTCTGTAAAGGCTTTATACTTATATAAATACGGGCACTTTTCCCAAGTTTATTGCTTGGTATTTCATACTTATTGTTTGATTTTGAATGGGGTCTTTCTTGTTCTTACACTTCCTACTAGGTGCATTGTTTGCATATAACAGTGCTTTTACTTTCTTACATCCACCTTACTGAACTCTTATCCTTTCATAGTTGTTCTAACATTTCAACTGGTTCGCTTTGATTTTCTAAATCACCAGGCAAAACGCCCACATAAGAGTTTCTCTTTGCCAACATGTACGCCTTTTCATCTTTATTCTTTTCCTGTTGTATTGGTTAGATCTGCCAGGAATGTTATGATAATGGCACTTCTTGCTTTTTATTTTGCAATGAAAGGTTAGCAATTCTATTAAATGTTAGAGATTGCCTTAGAATTAAAGCTACTACTTTATCCTAGAGGGGTTTTTTTTCTTGCTCTAATAAAGTGCTAAATTACTCTTAAAATTATTCAAATTATTCAGGGCGTGTGGGTAGTGGAGTTGGTTAAGCATCTGACTTCAGCTCAGGTAATGATCTCATGGTTCATGAGTTTGAGCCCTGTGTCGGGCTCTGCTCTGACAGCTCAGAGCCTGGAGCCTGCTTCCGATTCTATGTCTCCCTCTCTCTGCCCCTCCCCTGCTCACTCTCTGTCTCTCTCTCAAAAATAAACATTAAAAAAAAGAGAGAGAAAAAAATTTCAAATTATTCAACCAAATGTATTTAATGACAGATCATTAAATCTACTTTATTATAATGTAGACTATTCAGGCTGAATGCTTTGGGGATGCTTCCTTTTTTTTTTTTTTTTTTTTCTATGTCCTAAATAACATTGGCATTATTGGTTCCTTGAACCCTTGCTTAGAACTCCGGGAAAACTGAGCCTGATACTTTTTTAAGCAAGATATTTTATTTTTTTTAATGTTTTATTTATTTCTGAGAGAGAGAGAGAGTGTGTGTGTGTGTATGAACAGGGGAGGGTCAGAGAGAGGGAGACACAGAATCCAAAACAGGCTCCAGGCTCTGAGCTGGCTGTCAGCATAGAGCCCGACGTGGGTCTCGAACCCACAAACCGTGAGATCATGACCTGAGCCAAAGTCGGACACTTAACCGACTGACCCACCCAAATGCCCCAAGATATTTTATTTTTTTAAATCGTACTTTTCTTCCATTTTTAATGCTTTCATAAGTCTTTTTTAATAATTTATAATTTCTTAGAAAATACCCATTCACTAAAGAAGATGTGGTATATATATATATATATATATATATATATATATTTGTACTATACTATATATATATACACAATGGAATATTAGTGACTAAAAAGAATGAAATCTTACGATTTGCAACAGCGTGGATGGAACTAGAATGCATTATGCTAAGCGAAATAAGTCAGGAAAGGACAAATATTGAATGATGTCAACATTTGTGGTATTTAAGAAACAAAATAGATGAACATAGGGGAAGGGATGGAAAAATAAGATAAAAGCAGGGAGAGAAGCAAACCATAAGAGACTCTTAAATACAGAGACCAAACTGTGGCTGGAGGGGAGGTGGGTGGGGGGATGGGCTGAACGGGTGTTGGGGCACGGAGGAGGGCACTTGTTGGGACGAGCACTGGGTTTTTCATGGACATGATGAATCACACGATTCTACTGAAACCTTTATTACACTATGTGTTAACTAACTTGGATTTAAATAAAATTTAAAAAAAAGAAAGCATCCATTCCACTTAGATTTGATCTATTGGTCTATTTGTACTAAGTAGAAAATTAGGACATTAACTTTGATATTTACTTCCATTAGCTTTTTTTTTTTAATGATTTCTGTCCTAAAAAGATTGAAAAACTAGCATGAGAATGTGTACAGTTCACTCCTCTTCCGAATGTTCATATCTCACCTCAAGCTACCCCACGGACTCTAGAGGCAGTAGCAGAGGGGTCTCAAAGACCTGAAACGCCCCCCGAGGCCTCGTGTGCCCAGGTCACAGC